AATGGGCTGATTGAACAAAGACTTGGCAACATTAGATCCTTGAACTGGTGTCTTATCAGATGCAGTCGCAGGATCTGATAATTGAACCGCAGAACTATTCATATTGTTGTTTTGTTTATCAACACCAGTTGGTTGTGCATCTGTACTAGGATCTGCAAGAAAGTGTGATAAATATGATGTCAAAAATATTAAGGACATGTCACATGAAGTGACAAAAGACCAACTTCAAATGGATTTTTACCTTTAAGTGACAACTGGTTGGTGATCAAGTGTTTACGAGATCTCTTGGCAGTTATGGGAGCTGCAGAGACGTCTTTGATGCCTTTTCTTTTTGAGGTTGATGGAATGGAATTTGGAGTAGAGAATTTCATGGTATCTGGAGCAGCATTTGAAGGCATTGATGCTGACATCAGTGCTGCAGTTTTGTATGTAGAATAATAACCTGATAAAAGTAGTACAGTATAATTCTTCAGGTAAATGGTAAAGAAAGTATCCAAATTATGGCACGAACCAACAGGCTGGTTATTGATCATAGTACCTAAGAAATAACAATGACATCCAACACATAGCATAGCATATCTTTCTACGAACAAAATGATATACTATTTCTTGAATATAATTATGGGCAATTAGTGACAGTTTTACATTCCAATCATTCTTTCGGAGATATTTCTCTTTAGGGATGAAGATGGTTCTGCTCTTCAACTAAAAATATATGTTGCATGACTTCAGTTAATAACTATATGCAGTCTAGAGAATAGATGTTGTACTTCTCATCGCATACTATTACATGATGGTCATGCAAATGCAAGACGGTATTTTGGGCGGAATATATGCAAAAATATTCAGCTTTTTGCCTATTATGGTTTTTTGAAAGAGACTTGGGAAAATGAGATCCTCTGTTCCTTCCACGTATTCAGGTAATAATCTAAAGCAAATGAAAATAGAGAAAGTGCAATAATCAAATCTCTCCCTGGGAAATAAAGATCTACTACAAAGTGGCAGGGTTGAATGTAGCTTCTGCGGATACAATTAGGACATTGAAGCTGTGGAGCTAAAGCCACTGGTGTCAATTTCTCTTACTTTGAGAATAACAACTTGAAGTAATCGATCTAGCTCGTTTAAACTTTAAACATACCATGTACCAAACAAGATAGTAGCACATACAGCAACCTAGTAAACATAAAGTCACTGAGTAATCTAAGCAACTGAAACTGAAAAGCAATGACACAAACTGAGAGAATATAGCAACACCAACTAGACCTCATTTTGACAAGTTGGGGTCAACTATATAAATCTCCATAGACTGTGTGGCTTCATATAAAAATGTGCTAGAAGTTCTTTATATTTTCTAGTGAAGTATAAATTTCTGAAATGCTAAACATTCATATAAAAGCATATGACATAAAGTAAAAGTGCTAACACAACAACATATCCTCAACTAATAAATCTCTCTTATGTAGATCTTATTCTTCCATTATGCCCTATATTTTGCTAAGTCTGCATATATTCCAAGAGATTATAGAATGCATACCTGTGGTTACTGGGGAAAATCCATTAACTATGCTTGGCAAAGCACCTATTTTGGGCATTGAAGAAGCAGCAGCAGCAGCAGCAATTGAGGAAGGAGGTATCAGATTTGTACTAGCATTGTAAGCATTCATAACATGTTGCATCCCACTTAGTAAATTCTGTACCCGCGTCTTTTCATGATCCAGTCTACACTTTTCTTGATCCAAAAACACTTTTTGCTCTTTCAAACTTATGTACTCATCCAACATATCTCCTAAACTCAATAAACTCCTTGGTGCCTATTCATTGTCACAAAAAAAAAAGGATTTAACCTAAGAAATGAGGAATTAAATAAGGCAGATCGAGGATGGACACAGTAATTCACCTCAATTACGTAGACAATTTATCAAAATTTACTCAGCCACAGAAACACACACACGCAGAGACATAAACAGACACACAAACATACAGAGGTGGAGCCAGGATTTGAAGCTTATACGTTCAGAATTTTAGTTCACTTTAAATTAGTGGGTTCTAAATTAATAATTTGTACATATTCGTATAGATTTCTTAAGACAAATAGGGCTCGGTCGAATCCGTAATCAAAGAGCTACCCCGTCCCGCAGACACAAACACACTGATTTGAAACCCCAGATTCTAGAAAATTGATTAGAAACACTACATATACCATAATTTCTCAAAACTTTTAGTTTATGGATATGTAGTTTCCTCTTGCACCCACTAATTTCAAATCCTAAATTCGTCTCTGTAACTAATATAAAGTCTATTAATCAGATATACTATATACAATTTATCAGAACTTTTAGAGACATGTATATAAATTAAAACGTGCATCCAAATATTCAATCATTTGAAATCCTAAATTAGACGAATTTATATAATTTTAATTGATAAAAAAAGCTAGGAGTACCTCGTTGATGGGAGACTTAGCCAAAAGATGTGAAGCTTCGGATCGAAAAGTGGATCGGGTTTCAGTGAAACGGTTATCAGAGAGGTAGCGGTCGACGATGAAAGCGATTTGTACAGGAGTAACCTTTCCTTTGCCAACGTTTTCGGTTTTTCGCGATTTGCTTTGTTTCCCCATTTTCTGTTTCTGCATCTGGGAAAAGTGGAGGAGGAACAGAGGGAAATGTAAGGAAGATTTTGAGAGGGAAAAAAAGCATTGATATTTGTAAGAGCTGAGAATATGGATTATGGAGGGAAAGGTAAAAAGAAAGAGGAGGGAACGTGGTGAAGAATGTGCAGATGAGAAAACGCGCGGCACTTTTCGAAAATTTTGGAGTACATCTTTTTTTCTTTTTTTAAAAATCTTATTCAAGTTTTGCAAAGGTTTCTAATCTTTATGTTTTAGTAAACAAAATAAACTTGCATTTTATCATTATAATCACAAATAATCAATATTAAAAACTAGTACATGGACCGGGTTCAGTTTTTTTTCAAAACCAAACCAAACCAACTTTATCGGTTTGGATCGGTTCGGTTTTTCGAGTTTTTTTTATTACATGAATATTATTTTAATCTTACTTCGTTAAAATTATAGATAAAGTTTTGATAAGGAGTATATGTTTAGTAAAAATTAAAAAAAATGACAAACATATAATCTATTAAAATATTCATATAGGATAATTTTTTTAGTAACCCATGATAATTATTTTCTTAGTCGTCTAACAATAATTTTTCCTTGATGTACGCTTTCAATGTTAATCAAATTTAATAATTAAGCATAAAATTAAAATGAAACTCAAATAATGAAATGTTCTATTTTATCGAATTACCATTTCAAATTCGAAAAAGGTATAAGAGTTTAACAGATTTGGCATATGAATGTGAAAGAACAAAGAGATTGACGCATTTTAATAATACTTGATAAGAAAGTGATGATACAACTCATTATTTAACGTAATAAATATGGATGCACTTCATAGTTCTATTTAATATTACATTACATGAGAGAATCTCAAATATTTCTAGATATTTTCTAAAGAAAATTCTATATAAAATCTTAAAAGTATATATAAAAATTATATATTTATATGTCGGGTTGGTTCGAATTTTTTTACTCAATATTAAACCTAATCGAATTTTTTAATTGGTTTGATTTGACTTTTCGGTTTGATATGATTTTCCGGTTCGGTTTGAATACCCTACATGGAAACACTATGGTCTCATATTTAACCTTCACTAGCAAAAGATTTTTTTTCGTGTTTACAACGAAGAGTCCATATGGGTTGTTTTGTAAAATCTGAACCAATTAGTTTATAATATAATGGTATAGTTTGGAAAAAAAAGTTTTTTTGTTGTCTTTTAATGAATCTATAATTGAAATTTTAAAATATAAAAAATTACCAAGCTAAATAAGAATATGAAGGTTCAACTACTATACCAAATGTCCAGTAAATAATAATAAATAAATACAGGGCAGACCATCAGAAATTAATTCATCCGTCTTTGGATGAATTGTGAGATTTGAGTACAAGGGTCAGTTGTACCTCTTTTTATTATTTGTGAATTGGTGCTTGAGTCCATAAAGTTTTCAAAATAAAATTAACATATTTAACAATTGCATACTCATTTTTTTTTTTCTTGTGAGCTGGATCTTTTAATCGAAGTCAATCTATAGGGTCAAAATCAATCTCTCCGTATTTATTCATACTTTTTATTTTTTAATTTGTTGCAAAAAAAAAAGAATTTCCTTTTAAAACTATAAATTCTAAGGGATCCACTTTTGTGGAGTTGAGTTTAGAATTTGCTACTTCAAAAAAATCATATTTGTGGCCTTCTAATTGAATAGGTTGAGGATGACCCTCTCGAACAGATTCACTCAAAGTAAACTGTGTTTCCGCGGCAGCGACGGCCTGTCGGAATGCAGGGACTGGCGCCCTCCGCCTGGAAGTTCCTCGACCTGCCGTCACGAAGTGTCGTATCAATAAACGACGATATATAACCAACAAAGTGGTAGGAAAAACATTTACCAGATGGAACTTTAGGGCCATAACGCTTTACGAAGGCGGGCCAATCTCGGGTTTCCGCTGCATGGGGCAACAGACGGGCTACCCAATCCCTTATGCCAGAAATAGGGCGGGCCGGACGTCCCATAGCTGCAAACGAGAAGCAAATAAACTTTATAATGAAAACAGACGAAGGAAGAGAAAAACGAGTGACGACACTTACGAGTCTCATTCCATCGCTCCGGGAACCTGGCGGAGTCAGAAACGACGTGTTCAGTTTTAACAAAGAAGTACTTGTGCCAAAACTTGCGACTTGCTCGGTCGTTTGTCCCAACCACCAGCCCTTTCCATGGTGCCTCAAATGCACCATGGTACCCTGTGGAATCTAGGCGAAAACAAGTGCAAAAGGTGGTGGATAGAAACATCACATTCCGCCAACTACTCATACTTGGTCAACAGCAGAAGTATCTTGAGCGTATACGGTGAAAGTTGTGCTGGAAAAACTTGGTAGAACCTAGAAAACTCTTCCGCTAATGGGAAGAGAGGAAAAGTATAGCCAATCACGAAAGGGTATTCGTAGAAAGCACAGTATCCAGGTATGTGGACCTCTACAAAATCTCTCCCCGCTGGAATCATGTCAACATGAGCGGGAATGCCATACTTTACATGAAGAGCGTCAATATGAACTTGCTCCATCTCAGAGAGTACGGGGGTAGGAGTAGGAGGGGGATCTTTGAGGAAGTCACTTCGAGACATGGGGTGTCTCGCAGTAACTCCTCCACCGTAGGAAGACTATCACCCTCTTCTACCACCGTATCTTCACTGCCCGAAGGGGGCATCATAGACAATGGGGCAGCCTCAACAATCCCTTCACGAGATCGATGTGACCTTGGAATGCTTTCGTTAAAAAAGGTGTTGACGCAGTAGGAAAAAAGAGAGGAAGAAGAAGTTGTAAACGAAGAATGTGAGAAGAAGAAGTAGAAGATTGCCAGGGCCATCTCGGAGAAATGAGGATGGGGTATTCATAAGTGAAATGGCCATGAACTTTTGAAAAAACAAACCCTCTACCTATTTATAGGATTATATGGCACTAGAATCGAAGCGGAAGGTCACAAAGTGGCACCAGAATTGAAGCAACAAGCCATCAACTCCTGTCTCGAAAACACGCATAATGATGACGCACGTGAAGATGATATCATTTCCCGATAAAATGCATTACATGGTGTCTTGCTAAGCACGCTGACCGCCCACTATTGGCCATGACGTAACGCCTCGAAGGATCAAATTTCTCTATAGGAATGCATGGTGTCCGCTCATCGAGGACGCACCAAGTTGCAACCTCGGCAAGCGGAGGGGTTTAACTGTATGGGTCCAAATTTGAACAACCACTACCATCGATGAGTACGACGAACGATGAGGTCCTCGTAACTCGACGTCTTGCGGAGGACGACCTTAAGGTAAACAAGAGATTGTACAACCCTTGTAATAATACAGGCCCATTAGGGGATACTAGGAATATTCCTTATAACTTGTCTTTTATAGCTTAGAAGGGTTTCACTCCTTATATATATAGCGAACAACAACCTTGTAAAGGGGGACTTCTAGGTTGATCCATAATACTTGCTGTAAATTTGCTTACATAAACGAGTGAGAATATTTATTGTAAAAGGTTGGTTGATCTGGATAGATAAGGAAGTCTTATTGTCGTTATTCTCCTTGTACATCTTTCGTTCTAGAGATTATTATACTTAGCTAAGATTTACCCCTCTGTTTTCTTTGATTAATTTATTCAAAAAGGTTTCGATATCTTTTGAGTCAAACACTATCTTTTGTCAACAGTTTCCTATGCATTGCAAGCCAACAAATGAAGCTATGTTTAGGATTATTCATTTTGTTCCACCCATCTGCTCCAAGACCATTGTTCCAGTCCCCCTCTTCTCCAGTGGTAGCCACTCTTAATTGTGTATTTTCCAGCTTTAGTTTGCCATTCATTCTCTACATAACCTGCTGCATATGTATCTCGTATAGAATATATTTTCCTCCAATACCAACAACTTCCTTGTGGAGGATTGTATTGCCACCAATTGTCCCCTTTCAAGTAGATATGGTTTACTCATTTAACCCACAGTGTGTCTTCTTTGTTTGCAATGTGCCAAACATACTTTGCTATAACAGTTTCATTCCATATGATGCATTCTCTTATTCCCAGTCATCCTTCTCTTTTTGGTCTACATACTAGATCCCAAACTACCAATGGCACTTTATTAGATGTGCCTTTTCCCATCCCATAAGTAGTTCCTACATATTGTCGTAATGTCCTTTAGGACCTTCTTTGGTAGAATGAATATTGTTGCCTAGTAGGAGTGTATATTTATCAACACAGAGTTGATCGATTGAACTCTTCCTGCATATGACAAGTTTTTCGATCCCAAGAGTGTATTCTTGTGCTTAGTTTATCCACCAGTACTTCATAGTCTCTTGCTGTCAGTTTCCTTGAAACTTGAATTTTAGTTTTGAGTTTTAAATTTCAGGTCAGATGACCACTTTTGAACCTACACTTTAGACCACTGGTCCATTTTTGAAAAATTAGCCAATTCTAAATACAAAGAAAATCAACCCATATACAATGGGATGGATGGTGATTTGCAGAAAGAGGGTGATTTGAAGGCATTGTTTACATTTTGTCCTCGTTTAAGGAAATCTTGAAAAAATAGTTTTGCGCTATAAATCGAAAGAATGAAATTTAGGCTTGTCTAGTTATTCGCAAGTTCTGTCAGGCGACAAAATTTTGGTACTATCTTCAATTATCTATCTTGCTAATTTATTTACAAATTTTGTCGGACGTGTGAATTTGTCTTGTTCACAAGTTTTGTCTGGCACATTGTGTAGTTTTATCAGACAAGACATAACTTGCTAATATTTTCATTCTACCTATCTTATTAAATTATTTACAGATTTTGCTGGATGAGCAATCTTACCTGTGTTATCATTGTTCACAACTTTTCCGCAGAGACACGACTTAATACTACCTTTATTTGGTAACACTGTGAATTACTATTTATAACAATAAGAGAATACAAACTAAAGAGCGCCTAGTCACACTTTAGCTATGATATAGGCCTCAGAAAAAATAATTCTCTAATTACACATAAGTAAGGGTGTTAAACGGGTGGGTCGAGCCGGGCCAGATTGGGAAAAAATAAAACCGTCCGATTTCCAATCCAGACTGGTT